TCCAACACCTCCACTCCTGTCAGGTTTCTTTTCCCTCCACCTTGGGGCGCTGCTCTCTGCTTGACCCTGTCAGTGCGGCGGGCTTTCGTGTCCCTGGGATAGTTGATAGTCTCCGAGCTGCGTTATCTCCTTTATGCATTCTGTCTGTAACCACCTCAGTTATCTTTAGAAAATCCACATGTCATCGCATCATTCCCCTGTGCAAAATCCACAGCTCTGGGGCTGAAGAATCCGAGGGAAGCCTGCGGGGCAGTTTCCCATCTTCCTCTCCCCAGTCCCACCACCATCCGGCACTTCACATTTCCTGAGCTCTTGGCACCATGCTTTGGCCCAGAAGGTTCATTTCCCTGGGTTGATCCGCAAGCCCTCCCTCCCTTTCTGCCACAAATATTTCCTACGTGCCTGCCCCGAGCCAGGTTGATACTAAACTCTGGGCCTATACCCCTAGACACAGGAGACTCAGTCCCTGCCCTTAGAAAGTTTAAATGGTTTTTGGGAAGTCTACATTTGAAAATACAGTGACAGGCTCTGTATTCTACAGATACTGGCAGATTTTTCCCCCCAAAGTTCTGTCATACTCTCAAGGTCTTAACACTTGAACATTTTATTTTTAAACTTGAAACTAGAACATCAAAAGTTTAAAACATTAGCTTTTAAAATTAATTATTTTAAAATTAGAATTCTCCATTACAAATACAAAGACGAAGATGCATCAAATGCAAATAATGAGGGATTCTAATTCAGGCGACGTGGTAGGGGAAAGTAAACCTGGTATTATCCTCCAGGAAGAACAAGAGGGCTCAGTTTCAATTATGTGGTGCGGTGAGGCTTAATAGCATCATCTCCATCATGCAGAACTTTTTGGTTTCTGGCGGGCAATCCTCTCCCGCAGCTCAGAAACTTTAAGCGAACCCTCCCTTTGATTTGCCAGGCCTGTTGTAAGAGGCTCTGGTACTCTGAGAGACTGGAAAGAGGGATGCAGGTTTTCTTGCAGACCAGTAAAAATTAAGATGTCTGGATTTCTATAAATCTCATTAGCATCTTATACAGAATCTGATAGAGAACAGTAAAAAACAAAGAATGAGGAATTCCTTCATTCTTTCTTCCCTTCTGCATCCCCTATAATGTCTTGCAAACAGCCTGACATGCACTAGGTGCAAATAAACACACACTGAGTGTAATTGTGCATGAAATCCTCCACCAAAGGAGAACCAGAGCTTCGGGGAGCAGCGGAGGCAGAAACAGTGTCAGAACAGTGGAGACCTCCAACAGTGAATGCACTGCATGGTGCAGTCATCTTGAAAAGATGACTTATCTTAAAAGTACAGTAATGCAGCATCTCATCGGCCCAACAATGATCAGAAGAACATAATTCAACACTGAGCCTCTTACAAACCAGTGAAGTAATTTTAAGACACACTAATAAGCTGTCGAAAGTTCCGAATCTGGATGCACTGGACACACCTACACAGAGGTTTATATGTATAATGTTAAGTGATACTGTTATTAATGATGAATATTCTAGAACCACTGTTTGCATTTGTCTTTAACAGCAAGAAAACAGTTTTATTTTAAAGGCCATCCAAGAAAGAGTGTTTACTAGATTTGAAGGGGAAAAATACAAATGTTTACAGTAGGAATGCTCTTCAGTTCTTGTCAAGAAGTTTAAGTATGCTGATAGAGGTCAATTAGGTAGGCTAATTACCATGTCCTACTTTTATCAGATTCATCAATACTGACTTTTTTTCAGGTGCAGCAAAAAGGCATTCACACACACAGGGTGGGTCAACACAGTTTATCCCTTTGATTCAATAAGGAGGTCTGAATATGAAATGAACCAGACAGTGGCGTTACTTATCGCCATATTGATTTAAAGCCATTCATCCAATAAGAAGGCTCTTCAGAAAAATAAACACATCAAGGCAAGGCAAAGCAGTGTGAGGTCTGGTCCCCTCTAGCAATCGGTGCCATCAAAAGATGATCAGACCCCAGGTCACTGATCTTACTTTTCAAATCAGATTGAGAAAGAGTATTTAATTTGGTATTCTATGTCAACCCATACACGTTACTTGTTCGTGCCACGATCAACGCAATGTCTGGGCAGTGGTTGAATTGATGTGCCCAGCAGCTGGGATAACAGCCCCTCTAGTCCTGGCCTATGCCCACTGCTGGGCCTCCCAGGGCTTTCCCAGGACCATAGCACCTCTACCTTCAACCTGGCAATGCCCAGAGGTCCTAAGGTATGAACTCAGAGCCAGAGCTGGCACACTTCTTCCATTTTTCCAAACCAGGTAGCCAACAGAGTAGAGTGGAGTGGAGCCCTACATTTATGAGCTGATCTTCAGTTTGAACTCTGGGGCCTACCCCTATTGAAAATTTCCTAAAAGGTAGAGACCTTGGGAAAGGAACATGGGAACAGGGAGGGAAACCAGCATATATCTCTGGTTTATGAAAGTTACTAAACACCCACTTTTTTTTTTTTTTTTTTAAATAGAAATACAGTTGCCAAAGAGAAAGCAGCAATTTAAATGCCAAAAGCACTGGGTGTAGCTGAGGAGAGGAGTGGTGTTGAAATGATTAATTACACGCGCACCAGCTCTCTCTACCGATCTCTCCCGCTAAGAGCTTCAGAGACTTGCCAATTAGTTACTTGAATCATCCTCTACTTGCCTGATTTGCCTTTAAAGTTTGTACTTAGCAATTTGCACTTATTTAAATACCAAGTTATACGGTTTTGTTTTTAGGGGGGAAAAGGTGAAGGAAAACTGGCTCATGTCTTGGTATTTCTGCAACTAAACTGGTCATTTTAGGAAATTCAAAAAAACTACTTTTATCAGCTGTAGTACAGATTTTAGGCTATAAAGGGTCCATTTCAGATCGCATTTAACAGGGCTGATTACAGGAAGAAATTTAAGAACTTCATTTTGGTAATGAATTGAGGAACTTCAAGATCCTATAGCATAGGCTCTCAAAAGCCAGTTTCTGTGAAATGCCAGTGTAGCCAATTAAAAAAAAGGGCGGGGGGAGGGACAGAGGGAGAAACACACAAAAACTTAACATGGGAATCAGGCAGAGGAGATTTTCTTAGGACATCGAAGTTGTCAGCTATTCATTCCTTTAAAGCACCGTTTATTTTCATACGGCTTCTTTAAATGTATTAAACAGTTCTTAAATAATGTAGAATTATTCCTTTTTATTTTATATAAACCTTTTTTACTATTCCGAAATTTATTCTTTAAAAGTGACTTATTGGGGTGCCTGGGTGGCTCAGTCAGTTAAGCGCCTACCTTCAACTCAGGTCATGATCCTGGGGTCCTGGGACCAAGTCCTATGTTGTTGGGCTCCCTGCTTAGCGGGGAGTCTGCTTCTCCCCCCAACCCCCCGCCATTCTTGCTCTCTCTCTCTCACTCTCAAATAAATAAATAAATAAATAAAAGTGACATTTTTTTCAGCAGTAAATTCCAAGTCTAGGTTTGATTGAAATTCTTTCTCTTACACGGGAGGCCCAAATCTGAGTGCTGGCTCCACCAGTTTTTGAAAGCAAAGTGAGCGCCCACTCTACCCTGTCCCACTTCTCCTCAGCCCTCGCTGGGGTACACCCAGCCTCTGCTCGGAACCCACCTCTTTGGGAACCTCAGCTCTAGTCCACGGAGGAGGGCATCTCACTGGCACCCTGGCAGCTTGGAAGATCCTTGGAAGCCTGAGTGAGCATGCGAGAAATTCTTAGAAACCCAAGAATGGGGCAGGACAGGGTGGGGAGGCCAACATATCATTAGGGAAGTATACTAAGAGTAGTGCATTATGGACCCTACTCTTTAAGGGAAAATACAAAGTAAACTGTGTCGATGTTCAACTTGTAAGGTCACTTGGGACAGCTATATGGTACTTAATGCAGGGTAAATTAGAATCTCTGATTTGGGGCAAATGAAAGAGTGTTTACTAGATTTGAAGGGATTTAAAAATAAGTCCGTGCTTCCACAGTAAAATGAATAGACTGTCCTAAAAGACCAGAAAGTAGCCCTTGCATCTCTTAACTCAGATTTTCTGCTCTTAAAAAAAGTCCTTGGGGGGCACCTTGGTGGCTCAGTTGGTTAAGTGTCTGACTTCAGCTCAGGTCATGATTCTGGTGTCCGGGAATCGAGCCCTGCATCAGGCTCCCTGTTCAGTGGGAATCTTGATTCTCCTTCTCCCTCTGCCCCTCCCCCCAACTTGTGTTCTCTTTTTCTCTCAAATAAATAAATAAAATCTTTAGAAAAATCTTTGGTTTTTACAAATCTGACTGGCTAACTGATGTCAGGTCCTTTCTTAGCAGAAATGACCATGGATTAGCACTTACGGCAGCCCCATGATCTCAATTTTTAAAGTCAAATTTGAGAACCAAGCATACATAGGAAGAAAAGCAACAGAGCACAGTTTTCTGTGGTGGGTACCAAGAGCAGATGAGAGTGCTCCCCAAGCCGTTCCCAGGACTGGCAGGCTCTTGCTGATAACAGCTCTACGGTCACTAGACCATGATGCATCACAGCGCACAAGGTGTGGCCTCTGACAAAACGTGAGCAGAGTCAGGTTCAGCCAATTTGAAAAGCAGCAAATCAATCGTAACAAAAATAGAATTTCTATGATTGGTAAGTGGCCTCTGTAAATACAGGAAATGTGAATTCAAGACCCACATACACACTAGCACGGGCTGCAGACACAGCTGGCGGCAGAAATCAAAAGGAGGCTCTGCTGACAGGACGCTTCCACCGGGAAATGCAAGTATCACCTAGAACTCTCCCGTGTGTTCTCTTCCTGAAGAATAATCTTTTCCTACCGACTGCCAAAATCAATCTGTACAGAGGCTCCTAAATGAAAGAACCCTTTACTTCGGAAAAAAACACTGAAACATTCTTATATAAAATGAAAATTACTATTATATAATTACTTGTAATGAAAAAAAATGTAAGTCCTGTTTTACGGAGCAAAACCCATCTGAAGCAAAGGTTGCAAAAGCAACTCACCTGGAAATCCTGATCGTCGATGCCAAACCTCTCCCGCAGGTTACGGAAAACCATCGGGCAGTATTCCTTAAACTTGAAGTGGCTCGGCATGTTTTCTCTGAAACAGGCATATTGTGGAGTAAAGTTTAGATGTATAGAATGTTAACCAGACCTAAATCTGCCACCTTCTAGTTCCACACGTAGCCAAGTGCCTGGAGTTCCCCACCCCCAGAAGGCACGGGTGTGCTCCATAGGATCGACTATGACCCACAGTACATCCGGAGGATACAGGGACAGACTGGTCACATTCACCTCCTTGCATCACCTAGGGGCCCTGGGACTAGATGACTGTTCTAATCCTGACCACTCCTGAGAGTCGCTCCCCCAAGGACGAAGAAGTGGAAAGACAAGAGGCCATACTGAGTGAAACCATGAAGGGATAGCAAAGAGCTTGGGGAGCTGGGGATGGGAAGCAGAGCAAGTCACAGACATGTTCCCCACACTCCTCTTCAGGGACGTGGTGATTAAAGCTTGCAAAACAACATTACCTCTCACTCCCGAACGACCAATGTTATGCTATATATAAATACCACATTCTAAATTCACACAGAAAAATATTCCTCCAGAGGTCAACCTCTAAACAATAGTAAGAGAATGAATGCATCTGCTTCCCATCAGAACAATGGTCACAGTAAGAAATTCTATACTTGATCCTTGTGTGGGTGGGATTTCTTGGAGGCTCATATCCCACTCATTCAGAATTGCTTCCTCCTTTGTGTACATGTACACCAACACACACACACACACACACACACACACACACCCCTCTACTGTCATACTTTGTACACCAAATTACAGTAATTTGTATACGTGTCGAGTTCCAACCACCTGCCTGTGAGCCCCCTGAGGTCAGGACCATTTCTCACACTTCCTTGTACCTCCCGCTCTTATGGACAGCTAATACATAAGGTGCTCCATAATGACATCCAACATGACATTCAAATGAAGGAGAAATGGTCTCAGTGCCTGCCATGGCATCCAATTATGTTTTACGAAAATGTCCTAATTCTTTATTGTTCTATGAAGGAGTCACATCCTGTTCATGAAGTGGGCATTATTCAAGTTTTGTATAAGATAGCTGAGGTCCATTGCTGTTAAAAATTCCAAGCAATTTACAGCTTCAAACGTTTAAATTGTAATGAGAATATCACTTTTAACATATAAGATATTCATAGAGAACAATATGCCATATGGCAAAAGGATATTACCCAAGAGGGCCTGCTGTTGCTTTTCTGAAAATGACAGATGGTTATGTTTATCACAGGATTAACTTCATCAGCAAAACTTTACTCCCACCCATTGAAAAATAATGTGATTATAGAAATTCACAAAAATCATGCTCCTGGCAGCCATGTCAGTCCTATAAAAGGGCCATACTTGTACTTACTTGTTAAAAAGGTGATTGTCCACCTTTATCTTTGAATAGGCTTTGAAGTCATCTGGCATCAACATAACAGGGATTTGAACATGGCTCAGTTCATTGATCTAGAAAAATACAAAATAAATGGCACAGGTTATTACTATCTCTGTGGAAAGTGCTTCACTTGAACACAGGGCTCAGGAAGAAAACCAGGTAGACCCAAGAACCTCCCGCCCACTTTCCTCCTGCTCCAATTCCAATCCGTCTCTCTTGAGGCCCTCCTTACTCCCTCTTCAGACTTTGCCACTGCCTCCACCTCCCTTCTAGCTCCAACTCCCACTGCTCATCTGGGTCTGCTGCTGGGCCTGTGGAGGACCTTTGGGGGGCAGTGACAAGGGAGGAATCCTGGAGGGTGAACCCTCATGGCCAGCAGTCCCTGCTTCTCCCATTTGTCCTCCCACTTCCCCTCCAGAGCCTCAGCCCAGGGCTCTTTACAACTTCTGACATAGATATTTGTCGAATTAATGAAGGTAACCATTTCTTTAAACGTTTGGGTACTCAAAAAGCAACATGGTCATTCATGTGATCTTTACCTTTCTTACAGGAACTACATTTAAAAATAAGTTTTGGGGCAGGGCATGAATTTACCAAGAGAGCAGCCCTCACGAAGGAAGGGAAGGAGACATACAGTCCTGAGGTGTAAACCGTATTGGTTTGAGGGAGTAAAAGGGAGATGGGTTTGAAAGGGGTCAAGACCAGAAGTAAAGATGTGGTTACAGAAAACAAAGGGTTGGAGCTGGACGCCTGGGTGGCTCAGTCGGAGGAGTGTCTCACCCTTGGTTTCAGCTCAAGTCATGATCTCAGTGTCTTGAAACAGAGCCCCACGTTGGGCTCTGCACTGGGCATGGAGCCTGCTTAGAACTCTCTCTCTCCCTCTCTCCTTCCCAGCTTGCACTCTCTCTTTCTAAAATAAATTATTAAATAAATAAAATCATTAAAAAAAAAAAAAGAAAAGAAAACAAAGGGTTGCACCAAGTTCTGTCTGAGTTCCAGTGAATGGCAGGAACAGCTTTTGATATACGACTTTGAAAAGGTTGAACTTTCTCTTGGTTATTTTTTCTCTCTTGGCTCCCAAGCTATACCTTCCTTGTTGCTACTAATAAAAACCACTTTAAAGATTTATACTTCCAGTAAATTGAGGATTCGCAGAAGGGTTCTCAGTTACAAAAACAAAACAAAACAAATCAAAGGAAAAAAAATGAGTTCTTTGATAAAGCAGAGCAGTTAACACATTGCTGGGTTCATAGTCGAGGCAATCTTCACGATGTCTTCCTTCTCCTAAAAAGAAGTTAATCCACAGGGAATTCAATGACTATCAAGCAAGCAGGAACAGAGAGAGCCATTTCTCTGAAGATAAATACCAACTTTGACATTTAGTTGGGTCAAAGGAAAGCTGGGGAGCTCAACCAAACACTTCAAACCTTAAATGAGGACCCCTGAAGGAAGTAAAAGGAGTCCCAACAGGTGGTAGAAGTAAACGCAAATGGTGTCTGGGGAAAAGCATCCCCAGCACAGGCCTCCAGGAGTCGCACAGATTCAGTTCAACCAACGGTGAGCACACAAAGATAACAGATAAAAGATATTCAGCAGAAACAAAAATTATTTGCATGACTTAAAGCTATTAGAATGATCAGATACAGAAAAGAAAACAAAAACTGTACGTAAAATGAATGAAGAAGTAAAAGACAGACCGGCAAAAATGAGTAAACTATGAGACTTTCCAAATGACCAGTTAGGTTGAAAGAGAATCCAATAAAACTTTTACAAAATGGAAACTATGATTGGTGAACAGAAAAGAGAACAAAAAGCTCCTAATTTAAGGCTTCAGAAGCAGACTGGATAACTGGTATACCAGAGGGGAGCTCTGAGGAAGTTACCCAGAATCCACAAAGAATGAAAATGTAACATTTAAAAGAATGATGAATGGAGGACATTAGGAGAAGGAAAGGAAAAGTGAATTGGGGAAAATCAGGGTTGGGGGGTAGGATGAACCATTAGAGACTGTGGACTCTGAGAAACAAACAGGGTTTTGGAAGGGAGGGGTGGAGGGTCGGGTGAGCCTGGTGGTGGGTATTAAGGCGGGCACGTACTACATGGAGCAATGAATCTTGGAACACTGAAAAAATTAAATTACATTTAAAAAAAAAGGAGAGAAGGGAAAAAATAAAAAATAAAAAAATAAAAGAATGATGAAGGAAGAAAATTAAAGGAGAAGAAGAATGCTCATGTGGAGTGAGATTACATGAACTCTTAGAGGAAGGGAATTGAGTATGGGGAAAAGCCAATATTTGAAATATAATGGCTGAGAATGTCCCACCATTGCTAGAAATTATAAATCTATGGATACATAATAAGAAATGACACACAAAATAGTCTATGAAGAAATCCACACCTAGATACACTGTAGTTAAACTGAAGATATCAAAATCAAAGAGAAGAAAAGTGGCCAGAGGAAAGAGACAGAATGCAAAGAAGCAATGACGAGAGGGACAGCCGACTTGTTAAGAGCCAAGCTGGCAGCCCAAGGACAGTGGCAGATCTTCGCAGTGAAAAATGACTATATAGGACTGTATACTGTGGTATATTTTTGGTCCATTATCTGGGCTCCTGGCATAAATCTAAAACCTTTGGAATTTCCAGAGTGACAGGAATGTCTTCTACCATTCATAAGGCACCCTGAGCACCCCTGAATTTATGCTAATGAGGTGACTCAGGGTGAGGCTGTCGCCAGAAGGACAAGTAAATACGGCTTTGGCACGTTCAGCCCTGCTCACTGACCTCAGGGAAGTGGAAGGAGGTTGCTAGGGAGGAAGTTCCATAAAGACTCCTGAACAAGACGTGGTGAGCTTCTAGGCTGCTGAACACATCCATGTGCCAGGGGGATGGCACACCCCAGTTCCACGGAGACAGAAGTCCCCATGCTCGGGAGCCTTTGGGCCTCGGCCTGTGTACCTCTTCACCTGGATCTGTTCATCTGGATCTCTTACAAGATCCTGTAGACTAAAGTGGTGAATGTGCATAAAGGTGTTCTCTGAGTTCCTTGAGCCACTCTAGCAAATTCACCACACCCAAGGAGGAGGCCGTGGAACCTTGGGCTGGGAGCCGGGGTGGTGAGTGGCACAGGGGCAGCCTGGGCTCGGAGCTGGAGTCTGAAGGGAGGGCCGACTGTGGGACGCGGCCCTTCACCCGTGGGGCCTGAGGCTATCTCCGTCCAGGAAGGCAGCGTGAAAATTCACTGCTTCGAGGTGCTAGAAAAAAACACACGTGGGGTAGAGCCGCTGAAACTACCGTCCCCAGAATGAGAGCAAAATAAAGGCTCTTTTCATAGAAACAAAAACCAAGGACTTAGCGACAAAAGAGCGCACTAAGGAAATGGATCAATTTTAGAACCATATTATTTAGACCATAAGGATATGATTCAGAAAGAGAGCAAACGTTCTGCGTGGAAGGCCTGAGACGTGAAAAGAATTAGTAGGCAAGTAAATTGGTAAATAGGATAAACACAAGTAAATATCACCTATATAAAGTAATAATGCTTTTAATTCCTGGGATGAAAATGTACAGGAATAAACAGCAGTATGTACGTAGGAAAGCAGTGACAGGCCCTGTATTATTCAGGAGGAGCGTAATATATAACTTTAACTATCATGATAACATTTAAAAGGCAAACATTAAAAGAACAGAAACAGAGTTATCTAACTTCCAAACTAGAAGGGGAAGAAGAGAATAAGAAAACAAAACTCATTATTTTAAAAAGGAGAGCCAAGAAGAAAATATAAACACTGTAAAAATGGGACAAATAGAAAGCAAATGGTAGAAACTCATCTGGATTCCCACATAATCCCAATAAGCACACACACACTAGTAGTTAAAAATAGACTGTCAAAATGAATTAGAAACTTTGAGCTATATGCAAGGGAAACACCTAAAATATAACTCAAAAAGGTGGAAAAAGAACAGAAAAACACATTAAATAGTACCAAAAATTATTGGGAAGCTAGCTGACCGTTACTAACATCAGATGAATTAATAACTTTAAGACAAAAGCATTATAAGGATAAAGAAGGCCTATACATAATGATAAAAGATTCAATTAGCCAGGAAGATAGGAGTCATATTTTAAGTACCTAATTAGTCTGGAAGTATACAGCAAAAACTGTTAGGACCTCAGGGAAAATCGGCAACCCACTACCCTAGAGGAGGATTTGAATATGCCTTCTGGATAGTTCAAACAGCCAAAATATTAAGAAAGATAAAGATTTTTAAACAATATATTGAACATCATTCATTCAATATATATGCTGTACACCTATGACTGACAAGTGGTCTTCCAGATGCTTGGGATATGTGATTGAAAACAGATTAAGATGTCTGCCCTCCTGAAACTTACATTTGAGTGGGGAGAGTCAATAAATAAAAGGAACACTCAGTAAATTACTATGTTAGACATAAATTATCTACTGTGTTAGAAGACCATGGAAAAAAAGAAAAAAAGCAGGATAAAAAGGTAGGAAATGCCCATCACTGCATGGGTGAGGGTCATTGAAGTATTTTAAATCAGGAGGGCTGGAGTAAGCCAAGGTTTGGAAGTGAAGAGACATTTCACATTCCAGTGCAAAGGCCCTGGGGCAGGGTGTGCCTGGTACACCTGAGACAAGGAGACCTCTGTGGCTGGAGATTACCTGAGAAGAGAAAGAGCTTAAGAGTTGAGATCACTGGAAAGACTGGTTTTTATTCCAAGTGATAATGGGAGCTGTTGCAAGGTTCTGGGTGGTAGAGTGATGATATCACTTAACTTAGGGTTTAAAAAGATTACTGGAGGGGTGAGAGTGGTCACAACTATAGAAGCAGGGAGCAGTGACAGCAGTGTAGGTAGGAAAAGGAGTATTTTTTGAAAGTGGAGCCAACATGATTTCCTGAAGCTCTGGATGTGGGGGTGTAAGAAAGAAGACAAGACCAAGTCCAAGGTCTTGGCCTGAGCAATTAAGGGGACAGAGCTGCCATCATCCAAGGTGGGGGAGAATTCCTTCTTATGCCTTTGCTTTCTGAATCATGTTAAAACTGA